AACATACCAAGGTAATTTCTGTGCAAATAACATGATAACTCAAACATGGCGGACCAAATAACTTATGTACCCCGGTCCTGATAACTTGGTCGGCGAGGGTGGGGGTGGGGCAAGTCGCTGAAACATGCCATGATAACTTCTGTGCAAAAAACATGATAACTCATACATGATAGACCTAATAACTTATGTACCCGGTCCTGATAAATGTGGCGACTGTGGCGAGGGGGGGGCAACCCCCGTAATTTCTATGTAAATAGCATGGTAACAGACACATACAAAATCGATAACTCCCATAGAAACGCCACTATAATTTTTGACCAGATTTATTTGTTGAAAAACATACACCCGGGAATTACTGTGTAAAAAGCATGATATCGCAGACTTGATAACTAATATCTTACGTTTTAAACACCATGTTATCTTTCATCCAAGGAGGAAAAGTTTTTGAAACATTTTCACCAGTAATTCCCGTGTTAAATTGTCATACTTCCCCATGCCTTAACCTTCTCGTACTGTAGTTACCAACCTTATCTTGTTGCTCATACCATAGTTATCACGCTGGTCATGCCAAAGTTACCAAGCCAAACTTTTTTTTTGATATGGCAGAAATAAGAAAGGTTCAAATAAAATTATTTGTCTACAATAGACAACAACAAAAGGTGGTTTAGTTGGTCATTAGGCTCAACCGCTATTGCATAGACTTGGGTTCAAATCCTCTTTCAAGCACTTTTATTTTCTTCTCATATTATGCAACAAAAAACCAAAAAAACCACTAGCGATTTATTATTTCCATCTACGATTTTTGAGAGAAGGAAAAAAATCAGTGAAAGCGAGCGTGGGATGATAACGATCACGTAGGAACTAGTCGTGCGGATCTGTCGCTAACGACCAGTCGACTGGTCGTTAGCACAGTCCTTAACTAAAATAGCTAATAAAAACATTGTTAAATATCAACCAATGATAGGTGGGTCCACCCTGGTTAGTTTGACCAGTCAACAACTGATTGTTGACCACTGACTCAGCAGTCAACAGGGCCCACTGTCAGCCTCTAACAACTCTGTTGGGTACACTTCAGTGTGTACGCATAGCAAAGTACTATTTAAATTTCAATTATTAATAATTCCAAAATTTGTTTTAAACTTTAAAAATTAATAGAAAATAAACCGTAGCTCAGATGAAAATGTTTTCTACATGAAAGTTGCTCAGAACGACGAGACAAATCCGGATACGCAGCCTGTTCGTCCGCCACACACCCCTAGCATAGCAAGCACGTAACTTTCCCCCTTCGGTTCATCTGCCTGTAAACGTTAAACACCGAGAATACTTTCCCGGATGTTTCCCCCTTCGCCAGTAGCACCTAGTACTACGTTAGGTGAACCCTAGCATGGTGTATTGCCATGTTATGCTTTGTAATGCTTTGATTGCTTTGTTATTTATTGTGTTCCCCCTTCATTACTTCTTTTCGGTAGACCTCGAGACCGCCGCCGATACCCCGTGATCGACTACATCGAAGATGACCTCTCCTTCTTGCCAGAGCAACAGGTAAGCCCTCCCCCATCCTTGATCACCAGATATCGCCTATTCTCTTCTTTACTGCTTGCATTAGAGTAGTGTAGCATGTTACTGCTTTCTATTAATCCTATCCTGATGCATAGCCTGTCATTGTTGCTACGGTTGTCGATACCTTACCTGCAATCCTAAATGCTTAGTATAGGATGCTAGTTTATCATTAGTGGCCCTATATTCTTGTCCGTCTGCCATGCTATACTATCGGGCCGTGATCACTCACGAGGTGCTCACGGGAATATATTTATATATAATATATGATAGTTGTGGTGACTAAACAGGGGTCGACTCGTAGAGTACCCGCGAGTGATTCACAGATTGGGACCGAAAGGACGTTTGTCCCGACGGCCCTCTGAGTGGATCTTTGTGGCGGAGCGACAGGGTAGGTTGAGACCACCTAGGAGAGAGGTAGGCCTGGCCCTGGTCGGCATCCGCGGTTAATTCAGTTAACACGCTTAACGAGATCTGGGTATTTGATTTGAGTCTGGCCACTGGCCTATACGCACTAACCAACTACGCGGGAACAGTTATGGGCACTCGACGTCGTGGTATTAGCCGAAGCCTTCGTGACATCAGCGACTGAGCGGCGCACGCCAGATTGGACCGTAAGTCTACTCTTGTCTTAAGGGGGCTAGGTCTGCTTCCGGCCGCCCACGCAACATGCAGGTGTGCAATGGGCGATGGGCCCAGACCCCCGCGCCATAGGATTTAGACCGGCGTGCTAACCTCTCTGTTGTGCCTAGGTAGGGCTACGGCATGTTGATCTTCCGAGGTCGGGCATGACCCAGGAAAGTGTGTCCGGTCAAAGGGGATCGAGCGTGTTGGGAAATGTGGTGCACCCCTGCAGGGAAGTTTATCTATTCGAATAGTTGTGTACCTCGGCAAAAGGACGACCCGGAGTTGTACCTTGACCTTATGACAACTAGAACTGGATACTTAATAAAACACACCCTTCCAAGTGCCAGATACAACCCGGTGATCGCTCTCTCACAGGACGACAAGGAGAGGATCGCCGGGTAGGATTATGCTATGCGATGATACTTGGTTAACTTACCATCTACTCTCTTCTACTGCTTCAAGATGGAGGTTGCCAGAAGCGTAGTCTTCGATAGGACTAGCTATCCCTCTCTTATTCCGGCATACTGCAGTTCAGTCGACATATACTATTCCTTTCATTGATACCAATGCATATGTAGTGTAGCTCCTTGCTTGCGAGTACTTTGGATGAGTACTCACGGTTGCTTTGCTCCCCCCTTTTGCCCTTTCTATACCTGGTTGTTGCGACCAGACATTGGAGTCTAGGATCTAGACGCCACCGTCTATGACGACTCCTACTACACTAGAGGTGCCTACTACTATGTGCAGGCCGCTGACGACGACGAGGAGTAGTTTAGGAGGATCCCAGGCAGGAGGTCTGCGCCCCTTTCATTTTGTATCCCAGTTTGTGCTAGCCTTCTTAAGGCAATCTTGTTTAACCTTATGTCTGTACTCAGATATTATTGCTTCCACTGACTAGCATTTGTATTCGAGCCTGATATCTTCTCGTGAGTTATTAATTTGTGTCTAGAGTTGTGTTGTGATATCTTTTCGTGAGTCCTTGATCTTGATCATATACATTTGCGTGTATAATTAGTGTACGGTCAAATCGAGGGCGTCACACCCTGGTGGCCCTCTGATGCCCATCTTTGGCTATATGGAGTCTTTCGTCGAGAAAAAAATCACAAGCAAGCTTTTGGGAAAAAACTCCGCCGCCACGAGGCGGAACCTTGGCAGAACCAATCTAGGGCTCCGACAGAGCTGTTCTGTCGGGGAAACTTCCCTCCGGGAGGGGGAAATCATCACCAACGATCCTCTCATCGGGAGGGGGTCAATCTCCATCAACATCTTCACCAGCATCATCTTATTTCAAACCCTAGTTCATCTCTTGTATCCTATCTTTGTATCCAAACCTCAGATTGGTACCTGTGGGTTGCTAGTAGTGTTAATTACTCATTGTAGTTGATGCTAGTTGGTTTAATTGGTGGAAGATCATATGTTCAGATCCTATATGCATATTAATACCCCTCTGATTATGAACATGTTTATGCTTTGTGAGTAGTTACGTTTGTTCCTGAGGACAAGGGAGAAGTCTTGCTATTAGTAGTCATGTGAATTTGGCATTCGTTCGATATTTTGATGAGATGTATGTTGTCTAGCCTCTAGTGGTGTTATGTGAACGTCGACTACATAACACTTCACCATTATTTGGGCCTAGAGAAAGGCATTGGGAAGTAATAAGTAGAGGATGGGTTGCTAGAGTGACAGAAGCTTAAACCCTAGTTTATGCGTTGCTTCGTAAGGGGCTGATTTGGATCCATATGTTTCATGCTATGGTTAGGTTTACCTTAATACTTCTGTTGTAGTTGCAGATGCTTGCAATAGGGGTTAATCATAAGTGGGATGCTTTTCCAAGTAAGGACAGTACCCAAGAACTTGTCCACCCACATATCAAATTATCAAAGTACCGAACGCGAATCATATGAACGTGATGAAAACTAGCTTGACCAAACTAACCTAGGATTCTAAATTTCTAACATCTTGTCAAGAAGACTTGAAATATATCCACAACATCCGGAGCACACGATTGATCTCTCTAAAAAAATGGTCAACCGAACCCACTCCCTCATTCAAAAATGTCTTCAGGCTTTTTGATGGTGTTATCCACTGCACTGGAGGCCTAAACAAAAACAATTAAATATGTGAATAATATAACTATCTACCTTGGTGAGAAATAATGTGGACTGCGTTGTACCTTCTTTACTATGTCAAGCATACCATGATTACCGATCAAATGCGATCTTATATGGCCATCTTGTTAAACTTTAGTTATTAAAATCCTCCTTCTCATGGGGTGAAGGCATTAACTTCTATGGACACATGTATCTCTTAGGAGCTGATAGAGTAAACTAGACCCAACAATGCTTTGAGGTTCGTACGGTCCAGAAATCAAATGCAGTCCAGACAACCAAACATGACAAATTTACGCCGGACCCTAGTTGGGCTGGATGCAGCTTAACAAAACAGGCCCATATGAGGGATATCTCGGGCACCCATTGGGCAGTGGTGATGCATTGATATCTCTGAGTACATCCTTGGGCTGCGTTTGGCTGAAATTCACTTCCCCGCCGTCCGCACTGAAATTCGAACTCGCCAGAGACAGAAAGAAAGAAAGAGAGGAACCATCCCCAATTCCCCCCTCCTCCCGCCCCCCCAACTCCGGCGACCCGCCGCCGCGATGCAGCGCGGCATGGACGCGTCGATCTCGGCGCTGTGCGGCTCCCTCTCCGACGTGCTCACCCACGCCGACGACTCCTCCCGCGCGCTCTCCGACGCCCTCTCCCGCCGCGCCATCCCCCTCGGTACCGCATCTGACCTCGCCGCCCTCCCCCCGCTAGGGTTTCGCCACCCAGCGCTTTTCCTTCCTGCCTGCTAACGGAGGACGTGTGCGCGTGTTCCCTCGCAGAGTCGGCGACGAACGCGTTCCTGCAGGGGCTGGACCGGCGGGTGGAGGCCGCGGGCGCCGACCTGGCGCGCCTCGAGTCCATGGCCTTCGGCACCGTCTCCGTCGAGGAGCTCCTCGGCCACTTCCGCGAGACGCTCAACATCGTCTCCCGCCACGCCGACGCCGTCGAGTCCCGCCTCGTCTCCTTCGGCTACGTCGCCCCCGGTGAGTCCCATCCCGCGTGTACCCACCCACTTCAGGCATTCAGGCGGGAACCCACTGGTGACGCCACTTTGAAGCTCTGCCCTGCAGTGTTCGTCTTGTTTTGTTGAGGGTCATGGGGTTCTCTTGTTGGTGCAGAAGTGGAGGACGAGGTGGAAGAGGAGGAGGAAGGTGGAGACTTGGGGGACCTTGATGTCCCCGGGAATGGGCTCTTGGGAGGGTCAAGCTCGGTCCTCAGGTCTGCCCGGAAGCACTTCGACGACGACGATGAACTGTATCCTTCCGTTACTAAGGCATTTTCAGAGAAATGCATTTTTTTATTGTGTTGAGTATGATCTATGACCGGGCACATAACAATTCGAGATGCATAGGCTCTAAATACGAGATACTCCCTCCGTTCCAAAATAGATGACTCAACTTTGTACTATCTTTAATACAAAGTTAGTACAAAGTTGGGTCATCTATTTTGGAACGGAGGGAGTATCATCTTGCACCTAGTTGGCTAGCTGTAAGGGTTCACAATTGCAGCATCGTCAGTGAAGTCAGAATTTGAAGATTTATAAGCATTAGGAGTTGAACCCTACTTATTCTGCCCCTGTTATTAGCTGTTAACCTTTACTACTAATTTTTCCTGCTAAATGTGTAAATCTCCCTAATATCATGCTGTCATACAATCATTTGGGACAAGCAAACATTGGAGATTATGATTGGTTGGGTTGTTGGGGATTCGTTATACTGGATAAGCTTAACAATTTGCATGCACCAAGTCTGAACCTTGATCTTTAATTAACAATGGGCTTCTGTTTTTTGGAAACATAGTAGGCACTCCTTTATTTAGAGGGTGTTAGCTTGGTGTAGGTCGGGTACAGATTACTCTGATACCAGGAGATCCGTTGTACTTCATTGCACTATTCAGCATCAAATCATTCTTTTGTGTTTCTGTGCGATTGAGATACAGAGTATTGAGTTCTTTCTTGACTGCATGTAAGATTTGAGGATTCCATGTCACTAAAGAATTTTGGGATTTCTGATGCTTGTCTAGCTACTCTGTCCTCTCAAGGTACGGAACACTTGCAATGCATCTTCCTAAATCAACTGTTTAGATGCATTATACATATTAGTATTTTTTACTGCAAGTCCTAAATCGAATAGAGATAATAATTTCTTTCGGATTTCGCAGATATTGATTTTTCTGCAAGCCCAAAGATGCCTGACAGAAAACCTGGAAGGTAACTCAACGGAATACAGACATATACTGTATGAGATATCTATTGCAACGTCCTTTTCAGGCTGTTTTTTTTGTTCTCCACAGTTCTTTACTTGTTTTATCTTCATTGAAAATCACCTTGTGTTTATACCGTTCAGTGTTGATGATGACCAAAAGATCTTGGAGGAAGCTGAAGAACCCACACCTCCCCAAATTGAAACATATGAGCAAGATGGTCAGCAGAGTGTATCTTTTATGTTTAGAAGATATATTAAATGCTTGCTTTCTATGACTGACATCTCTGTTGAATCTGTGAAGACAATGCTTTCCAAGGAATGATAAGGGCGTCGAAGGAGGAGTACGATAAACTTCCTCCTTACATGAAGACTCTTGCATCATGGGAGGTCTGACTTCTTTCTTAAAAAACTAATCGGGAATGCTTCTCATAGGACTCTATGCACGTTGTCTATTTTGTAGTGGCAACAAGTTACAGCACAGTCCGTGTAATTCAGACATGTTACTGGAGTTAATTACTAGAAGGGAGAAATCATGCAATATCTTTTCTTGCCTCTTGCCATAAACTCTTTAAAGTCTTTTCTGTTTTGGTCTCTGCATTGTAGTGGTTTCATGACGATAGTAAGTGTTATCTTAGTTATGCCACCTCAAAGCAATCTACTGCAATGCTTACCTTTTTCGCGGCTTCTCTTTTTATCAGGAATTGCATGACGCCGTTTCAAAACTAAATGCATACTTTGGTGGTGATAAGGCTCAGGGACGTTTGAATCAGGATGATGTTGCATCAATCGGCTTGGGTACGTTACAATCCCTGCCCGCAGAAATGTGAAATGCTTTTACACTAGACAAATCCCATTGACGTTTCCTTTCATGCCCTTGTCTTGTAGGGCGCAAAGGAAGATCCTACTTGTTGATCCTTCTGCGGCTGAATCAACTGGCTATGGAGACGATTGATGGCTCAATCTTCTACAACCTACGCAAGAACGACTCCTAGATGATTTTTTCAGAGAACCTGGGGAAACAGAAGGGGATATACTGATACTGCTACCATACTGTAATGCGTTGTGATGTACAGTAGTTAGTCTGGTGCACAACTTGTTCTCTCCTAAGGCATTGGCTTGGATTTGATTGCACTATTGTTTGTAGAATAGCTTGGTTTAATCTGGTGAAGAGCTTGGGTTTGATGGTTCTGGATATTCGGTTGTAATGTAGTTGATCTGGTGAGCTTGGGTTTGATGGTTGCTGTATACTCAAACATGGAGCTGCATAAGTCTTCTTTAACTGAAATAAAGTGGAAAGTGTATGATGACAAATTGTGTCCTATCTATCTGTGCAGTTGCAAAGGAGGTGCTGAATCACAATATCAGATCTTGCACGGCAAAATGAAGAACTGACGATGATTCAGGATGGCTTCCTGCTGCAATGTCACCCCAAGATGATCTCTGAAGTTTTATAAACTCCCGTACACTTAAATGAATCACCCCTTGCAATATTGCACATGTTGCAAGTCTTACACTTCTATGTATACATATTTACTATTTACATTCCTCCAATGAGGCTCATATATATGATGATGCTATATCTACAAATTGCAATTTACACAGCTTCAGAACTTGTTGAATTCTTCAGACCTCATGTCCTGCCTTGCCATGCAGGATGCAGCAGCGACAGCGGGGGAAGGTCCCTCCTATCAGGGTGGTGCTCAAGGTTTCCGTGAAATGGATCCCAGATCATGTATATAATCTCTCAAGGATGATCTGCGACAGTATCTAGCTAGGCCACAAACGCTGACGACGAGGAAGAACCGTATATCTCGTTTGCCTGAGCCAGGGAGACGTACACGACGTCCGTCAGCGAGCTGTGGGTCCGGCCGTAGAAAATGTACACAAAGACCCCCATCACCAGCCATACCCCGACCCGCATCCACGTGCCACCCCTGAATAACACACATAGGTTGGCAATGTTCAGACACATACATATGAATCTTTCCATTTTGAAAGTTTTGTTGGCAGAAGTAAACTTATCAGTGAGTGAGATCATTGTTTGAGGTACTCACCCTAGATTTATGAGCAAGTATGTGTTTATGAGGATGCACATCACTGGCAGCAGCGGAACAAACGGGCAGATGAATCCTGCAGAGGGAGCGGCAGAAAGGAGCTGTGACATCAAGTTACCGGTAGTCTAGTATGTATGGAGAGATGCGTGAAAATGCTGCGATGCAAGCGTACCTCCAGAGTGACCAAATGAGTGCCTTCCGTCGTCTTGGTCGATCCAGGAGAGCATTCCGAGACCAGCCAGGAGGAGCAGGCCACCAAATACGCAGAATAAGCACATCACCAGGCTGGCGTGAAACGTGAGAGATGCGTGTTAGACAGGTCAGCATTTCATTGCACAGGAAAGTTCATCATGGGAACAAGATATGCCCGGTCAATACTTACAATGGCAGGAAAGTTACAGAAGCTGAAGCCGTCAGGATTAGAACCCCTACGCATACAGATGCTATGCTGCGAGCAGCGGTTTTCCGCCGCTTTAACTCATCCAATTTGTCTGATGGGTTGACAGAGAAACCGGTTAGCCAGCTTAATAGGTAAAATGCACATACTCAGAAATGTAGACTAGACCAGGTCGAAATGCAATTTCCTGGACTTACTTGCGTATAGCTGCTTCTCAATAAGAGGGTCATTGATTGATTCTACCACGATCACATCCTTAATCTCAGACGTCCCCTGTTCATGGTTCCCATCTCCAATAGGACTCCCCACCTTTTCCTCATCACATTCTTGGCTTAAGCGGAACGACGTTTGCAGAGAGGATGGCAGGGGTACCTCATCTGGAGGAACATATCTGAGGATCAAGATGGAGACGGCGACTATGGTGAACGCGAGGAGCGTGCCTACACTGACCTGCAACCAAACTTAACTCGTTTAGCTCTATAAGCTTCGAACTTTAGTACTCGTAAAATTCTTAACTGCCTAAAATATTGTATGAAAGATTCATCAAATTTCTCAAATAACAACTATTTAGCGGTTCCTAGATCATTTACCATTCCTGCCAGTTGTGAAACATCCATGAAGAAAGCCAGAGATGCCGCACAGATGCCAGTTATGATTGTGCTCTTGACAGGAACTTGTGTCTTCTCGCTAACATCGGAGAAGAAGGATGGCAAAAGCCCATCTCTCGCCATGGCCATCAATATCCTTGGCTGTGGCAGAAGTGACCCCATCAAGGTTGAGCAGAGAGCAAGAACAGCGCCAGATGTTACAAGGTACCTAAAATAAGACAGCGCAGTAAAAAAAGCCTCAGCAGGAAGCACACCAATTGATGCACGGCGAAATGGAAGCACTGTCAAAAGGAGTCCTTACATCGCCCACTGCATCCCGTGCCTCGCAAAGGCGGATGAAATAGGGGTATCTGGGTCCATAGCGAAGTATGGCACCAGACCGACAATAACAACTGAAACCAGCATGTACAAGGAACAGCAAATCGTCAATGACGTGGCTATTCCCAGCGGCAGATCTCGTTGTGGATTCCTCACCTGTTGGAAATGGAAGTTTAGACAGAAGAATTCTTAATAATGCCGCCGATCCAGTGGGTGTGAAGACGTGCCATGCATGTCAATTTGGGAAATGGAGCCTGTCCTTACCTCCTCAGCGGTGCTCGCAACTGAATCAAAGCCTATGTAGGCAAAGAAAACGGTCGCTGATCCAGCAAGCATTCCATTGACCCCATATGGCAGAAATCTGCATAGAAAAGTGGTTAAGAACACTACTTACCAAATAGAGAAAACTAAATAAAAAGTAGCTTTTACATTACCCGCCAGACACCTTGTAGCCGACCCATCCTGTTTGGAAGCCAATGTAACTGCCAGCTATAATAACAAATAGCATCACACAGCAGTTCAGGACTGTCACAATTCCTTGTACGAATGTACTCTGTTACAAAGAAAAACAAAGAGTAAATATCATAGGCTATACTTCTCGAGAAAGTAGCACGAAAGGTGTTTCTGAAGTGTTGAAGCCTCTAACCTCTTTTATCCCGACGCATAACAGGGCAGTGACAAGGAAAACCAAGGCAGCAGCACAAGGATCAACAACAACATCTAGCCAAGGGAACTCATGGCGTGCTAGAATCCATGGCAGACTATTTGGTCCTCCGAAAAATAACGCCTGAAAGCATAGACAGAGTATGTTAGAGAGAGATGGAAGGTGGAGAAACAACAACATGCTGCAGAAACAAGGGAAAATCCCACTTACTAGATTGGGAGATATGCCACGGGCAACGGCTGATCCGCCAATCGTATACTCCAGTATCAAAGCCCAGCCGATCAACCATGCAACTCTAGGTAAAGAAAATGTCAAAGAAAGCGTGAGAACATCTGATCAATTTAAAATGGCACTTCATGAACAATGTGCACTCCAACATGTCAGCAAATTACCCTTCACCAACGCAGATGTATGAGTAGTGGTAGGCGCTTCCCGCAGAAGGGCAGCGGCTAGCAAGCTCCGCGTAACAGAAAGCCGAAAGCGCAGCCGCTATTCCGGCGATCAGAAACGAGAGCGTCAGTGCCGGGCCAGAGTGCTCCCGGGCAACCGTCCCCACGAGGACGTACACTCCGGCTCCAACCGTCGAACCAACACCTGGTAGATAAATGTTCCATGAGCATTAATATCATAACAGGAAGGCTGTAATCAGTGCAATACAGAACATAGACTCTGCAGAGTGTTAAGGCAGTCTGCATTCCAGAAGCATGTAACCATTTCTACATGAAACAGAGTATACATCATCAAGGTATGTAGCAAGATTTGGTAATTGGAATCCAGAGGGAAGACCCACCCAGCCACCCACCCTACCAACACTGACACGGCAACAACCAAACAAGCACAAGAGTAGTAGCCACGGCACAAGCCTGAACTTCAGATAGTATACGTCTCAACCTTCCATGGAAAGTAGTAGTAGTATTACAAATGGATAGAATCTGCATCTTATAGTCCATTTCCTGATCAAAACATTCCTATTGAGATCTCAGACCGCGTGTAGTAATTAAACTCATCTCAAATCATGTGAAACGTTTGCTGCTCTTCAATGGAAGCTTTTACATTCTGTAGCAACAAAATTCGCTACTTACAGGTTACTACAACTCTAGTTTGTGCTCGGTATTGTATATAGACCTAACGGATTTTGGATTTGGCGGCTGTGTGAGCGTTTGACGCGAGGGGAAATGGGGAATCCAAAAGGTAAAACTCTGCAGGAAATCACACCACAGAACAAACAATCCGCCAATCCGGACTGAGGAACCACAGAACAGACAAGAGAGTAATTTCATTCACTATTACAAGCTGAAAGATCCCAAAAAGAATCCGAGGCGCCTTGAGCCACGAAGGCGAACGATTAACCGAAAAGGCAGCGTATATAATCAACAAAAATAAAGATCGTTCACGGCCACGGGAAGTCCAAGGGAAGAAAAGGGTAATGATGAGCGCGCACCGATGGCGATGAGCTGCGTGATGGAGAGCTCCTTGGCGAGCTGCTGGCCGCCGGCGGCGCGGGCCCGGTCGGAGTCCACCTGCTTCCGCCGCAGGAGCACCCGGATCCCGCCGCCGCCGCCGCCGCCCGGCGCGGCCTCCTCGAGCGCCATCGCCGGCACGGAGGAGGAGCCCCGCGATACAGCGGGAGGGGGTCGGTGCGCCGGCCGGCCGGTGCTGCTGGCTCCCGCCCCTGCTTCCCTCCTTTGCTTGAGCCGCGGGGATTCTTGGGAGGAAGAAGAGGGAGAAGAGTGTGTTTACGGGCAGGATTAGCACAGGCGCAAGACGGGAGCAGAGTGGAGCCTTTTCGTTGGCTTTTATCGTGAGGCGTGCCGCTGTCTGAATCGTCAAAAAGATTAAAAATAATCTAGAAACTGTAGGAGCAGTAGTATACTCTATGTATACGTACGTACGTGGCATGGAGTATATGGAATAAAGTTTGGTCTGTTTGATACGCCAACAGGAGTGTGCAATTTATCTCAGAGACTATGAAGGGTTGAAGAGGTCATAGTCATAAAACTCCACGTCGCCCCAACGATAAATTTCAACGGGTTTTATTGCAGGGGCAGAGCGGCGGGTTATATTGCATGGGGCAGAGCGGGCTGACGATTCATAGACCGTAGATCCCTTTTCATAGAGTCGAGCGAGTTGAAAATTTATAGACATGCTATAAAGTTTTTGTGTGTTTTATTGCACCGAGTAAAATATTATAACGAGTTATAAATTGCACGTGCCCTTTATAGATGCTCTCAACAATAAATTAGGGTTTTGAGAGAAGGTAAGTTTAGGAGGGACTTGGCAGGAGATTTAAGAGTCTAACTTGCACTATTATATTAACACCGCGGAGAGGGGTGGAAATCGGGAGAGAATTGACTTACACACATCTTCACGGTTTATCATAACTTATGTTCCATCTCTGCACTAATCCCAGTTGAATCCCCCCTCTATCAAGCAAAGGAAGAGGTTTTATTATCAATCCCCCACACATAATTCCCATTAAATACCAAATGGGGGATTCGGGAATGAAACGACACTTCCCATGAATATTCTCTATACAACTCTCTTCTCACTAAACTCTAATTCCTCTAACTAAAGGTTAACAGATACTTCCTCCGTCCGGAAATACTTGTCCTAAAAATGAATAAAATGGATGTATCTATAACTAAAATAAGTCTAAATACAACCATTTCTAGGACAAGTATTTCCGGACGGAGGAAGTACATTGCAAGGGGCATGGAAACCCAACGTTACGGTAAACAATCTTAGAATTGCTGCTTATTAAAGTTAGTTCACAATGGTAAAATAATTAATCATTTTTTTTGCAAACTGAACATGTATGATACTCACTGCTGCACCGCGTAAATGGCATGTAATACAAAATTTGATGTGTTTAATACGCCAACAGTGAGTTGAATTTTCCCTCAAAGAAACATGAGTAGCAAGGGTTGAAGAATCATAACCACACGCTTGACGGCCTTCCTCCATACTTCATCACCTATATGATACATTCCGTAAAAAGGTTATTGTACAAAATATAGAGTACCACTGGATACCCGAGCTGCGAACTCGATGTGTCAGAGAGCATCCGTATCAACCAAGCAGACGCGGGAGATGAGACAAATCGACTAGCACCAGCGATAAGGAACGTGGAAACAAAACATCATGGTCTAAAAGCCTTAGCATCATGTTATTCATGCAGCTGCCCTGTGGGCTATCTAGAAAACTCGCAATGACATGGTTTTCAATTCTATTGTTTGGTCTGGGATGAAAGCTATGTGGCGAAAAATTACATCGAATATATATCTGTGGGGATGCCTATCCTCGGGCCATGTCAAGGACCGTTT